CTGGCAGAGACCCATACAAACACAGGGAAGTTCACAAACTCCACACAGACTGAAGGCAACCCAGTCGGGCATCAAACCTAGGACCCAAGCGCTGTGAGGCAGCAGTGCTAACAATCATGCAACCATACCAACCCTGATGAATCTTGTTGTTCATAAAATGATCTGCAACAGGAGGAATTACAGTACAGCATGAGATCCTGGGTGATGCGTGTAAATATGTTATGCACAAAAAGCACATTGTGCCCTTTCCCTAGAGACTCCACCAACAAAGCATTTGGGATAACGTTTTGCAAATTACAGAGGCGCCTGGTGTTTCTCTGTGCTCCTGACCTAAGCAGTAGCATTCTGATCACTTCTTGATTTCTTCCTTTCTTTGTAATTCAGCTTTACAAGGCAGCCCCTGCTTCTTATCTCTTTGGATGGATTCCGAGCCGAATATCTTCAAACCTGGAAAAAGCTTATTCCAGTCATCGACAAGCTCAGTAAGTAAGGACTTAGAAACGGATTAATCTCCAGCCTTGAAGCATTCAAACTGGGTATTTCTTGTGTCTTACATGGCCTAGTACTTCCTCTACTTCCTACTAATAGTAGATGATCGTAGGCAGTGACCACAAATTCTTTCCTGCAGGGTATAGTGTTTTGGTGTTTCTGTCTTTTACAGTCAATTAACTTAATTAAATGTACAGTAACCTATAAATCACGAATCAGAAATGAATCATTGAATGTTATATATAATTACGGATATCACTTATACCAAGTTCTTGGTGGTTTACCATAAACATACAATTGCTTTTTTAGAATTGGACCAACAAATATACAGTATATGAGGACTCAAATTTGCTAGTCTGTAACTTGGATTTTTTTTTTCATTTAAAATAGCCAATTAACTTTTTTATTTATACATAACATCCACCCAGACTAGTACTGACAATTGCATCTAGGCTTATAGCAGTGACCCCTATACACTGGGAGAATGAGACAGTGTAAATCTGTCTTCACTGCAACCTTGCAAATCCACAGAGCCAGCTGTCCTTTACCAGACTACAAGGCCTGCAGTGACAAACAGGCATTTTCAGAGTTGAGTGCAGGAGAAGCACATTCCCTCACTCAACCACAAGGCTGCTGGAGACAAAGACACCTTTATCAAGGGTGTCCATGGGGGAACCTCAGCCTTTTCATATCTCTCATATGGATATTTGTTCTTTATAGTAAAGGAGTAAACAGAAAAATGAGACCTACATATACTTTCGACAAATTGTACAGATAAACTGTAATTAATATCTGCAACTACATCAGCTCAACTTATTACTACATTATGTGTGGAGCAGAGGTTAGGGGTCTGGACTTGTAACTAAAAGGTTGTGGACTGAAATCTCAAGTGACACACTGCTATTCTGCCCCTTAGCAAGGTGCGTCACTCAGAATGCTACAGCGAATTGTCCCCCTATCCTATATAGATGGGTGCAAATATATGCTGCCTTGGGTAAAAGCATCAGCCCACTAAATTAGCAATTAAAATATGGTTTTCAGTTTTCTTTGTAACAAATTGGGTTTTATACATTGAATCAGTGCCTTCAAATTCAAACTGGATGTCAGTGTGGTGTGCACTAAAATCCAGAACAAGGGAAGGGCCTTGGTGCATTTGATTCAGTCATGGAAATAAGTTTATTGTTTGTAAAAACATTTGTAAAATGTCCATTTGTTTTGTTTTTCAGAAACCTGTGGGACTCATGCTCCTTACATGCAGGCAATATTTCCAAGCAAGACGTTTCCCAATCATTACAGCATTGTCACTGTGAGTCAGGTGTTCACTGCAAACAATGGGGGGGCTGGGTGTGTTTTCCCTGGAGCCTTTGTATAGATGGGTCTCGCCAGTGAAGCATAGCCTTCCGCAAGTCTGCAAATGTTATGCTGAACAATGCATTCTTTTCCATTCATGGAAATCGTGTCCAATCAGGGTCCTTCCTTCAATTCGTGATCGTGTCCAATCAGGGTCCTTCCTTCAACTACTGTAAAACGTGTTCCTCAGAACATGAATAGTTTGCCCCCCCCCCCCAACAAAAATGTAAATCCTTCCTGATCAGGCTTCTTAACACCCTCCTTGTCTTTCTCATGCTAGATGGCTCAAAAAGCAGGTGTGCCTTCCTGTCCTGAAATACTGTACATGAAGCGGGTGTTTTACTCCAAATGTATTACATCCCTTTAATTGCCGTTTTCCAGCCTCTCAAGAGTTTCTGGGACTTGTAGTGATATGCTCTTTAAACTGCTCCTCCGTATAGTATTTCCATGTGCTTGAATTTTATATTAGGGAACTGTGTTTCCTAAGACACTACTTCCATTCCAGTACTGACTAGTCTCAGGCTTGCTTAGCTTCTAAGAAAGAGGTGGACACAACACTGCTGCCAAAGGGGCTTCATCAATAAATGAAAATTGACCCCCAGATAAATTCACTAACTCAAAACATGATAAAAAAAGGATAAGGTAAAGTGTTCTTATCTAATCTTGTGTAATGTGTTAAGCACAGCACATTTAGTTCCTTTTGCAGTCCTGTCCTTAGAAAAACATCTGTGATACTTGGCCTTTGCCTTGAACTTCACTAAGAAAAGGTGTACATCTGTGTTCTGTTTGGCACTGGATGCTCAGTCCACTGTACTATCATGTGGACTGGTATCAATGTCTCCTATTGTTATTAATGTACTGATTCCTCAAAGGGCCTGTATGCAGAATCGCATGGACTGGTAGACAACAACATGTATGATCCCATCATTAATGCCTCGTTCAGCCTCAGTAACAGTGAGAAATCCAATCCCCAGTGGTACCTTGGACAGCCTGTAAGTTCTGCTAGACTTCATTTTTATACTTTGTGTGCAGTTTGGAAGGTGTGTTGTGGTTTGTGAGATATTCTTTAAATAAGAAATAGCGTAAAGGACAGTTGGGTAATGTAATGTTGAACAAATTTAGGTTCACCCTTTCTTTTCCTCTAGTATACTAAAATAGGTGTATTCAGCAGAAACAGTAACAAATGCTTGTTTATTGGGAATAACACCAAAAAATTAAGTGTATTGTAAGGTTTGCAGAGTGTTTTAGTCACAGTAAATTTGGTTTAACCTGTTTGGTTGAGGACCAACCTCCTGGCCAGAGGATGAGGAGGCTGAGACCCCCATGTAGCGTGAGGAGTGACCAAGGGGCATCTGCAGAGGTGGAGATGGGTGGAGGAGGGATGCAGGAGTCATATGCGAAGGAGAAAAGAAGTTAATGCCTTTTATTTATAGGTTTTTTTGTGAATCAGGAATGATCACAAATTACTGACAGTGGAGGTTAATTGGACTTGGCTGTCATCATCCCACTGAAACATTTGTTACAAACTCAGTTTAAAAGAGGGATTCCAAGAATCCATAGATATATCTCACAACAGATGTCATCCTTCATGTTTCTTAGTATTTCGCCCCATTTCACATGTATTGCAGTTGTTGAAACCAATTATTTTTGGTATTAGATCTGGCTAACAGCAATGTACCAGGGACTAAAGTCAGGGACCTTTTTCTGGCCTGGATCAGATGTCAAAATCAATGGAACTTTTCCTGATATATATCAGGAATATGATGGGTAAGATCACCTTCACCTTCATGGAATGATCACTTACAGTTTAAAGGGAAGTGTTATGTAAGTGCACAACGCTCTGTAATTCAGTACAGAAAAGATAATATATTTCAATTAGTATTAATAGCGCCATGCTGTTGGTAATCACAGCCCACAGTGCCAGAAGGCTTTGTGTTAAATTGAACTCTACATCACATCTTATTGTGGTATATCCCTTTAATGGAGATGGTGGTCACTTTTCACCTGAGTCCACCTCCCTTTGAACTAGAAGGTAAAATCCCGATCTGAAACTGTCAATTTTTCTCTGTATCCCTCAAGATTGAGACATTATATTTTTGTTCAGTCTCTCTGCACAATATACCGGTGAAACAGTGTTGTAGGATGTATTGTAGAATTCAAACTGCAGCAGATATTACTCAGTTTAAAGATTTTGTTCTGTTGTCTTTGGACAATTAATGACATGATCAGGAGAAAAAAATGTTGATTTGTGAACTTAATGCTCTTGAAATCGCATTTCTCTGCAGTACACTGTGCCACCTTTTTATTCCTTTGCGTCTGTTACTGTGATCGAACTTCCATGTCATTCCTTTGTTCTGTGGTCTTAATTACTAATTATTTCCTTGCACATTGTTACAGAAAAGTGCCTTTTGAAAAAAGAGTTTTCACACTGTTACAATGGCTACGCTTACCAGCAGAAAAGAGGTAATGTAATATTTCATACATTTCAAATTAACAAGAGATCATTTAAGTGCTTTCCTATGACCTTTGCTACAGGAATATTTGCGTTTATATTTATGTACAGATCTGCCAAGACATTTTAACCTATATGAATAGCACTATAACATCAGATGGCAACGCAAAAGGTACAGCAGAGCAACATTAATAGAATTTGCAGAATGATAGATAGAATTTGATAGAATCTGCAGTAATGTGCATGTTAAAATGAGGTTAAAAATGGTTAAGTATAAATATGTCAGTAAAAACAATCTGTAACATTTTCTTACAGCAAAGCATAATTTATGTTTACAATACAGTGCACTGTTCTACTTCTGAGTATTACCATTATGTGCCTTTTAGTAAACACAGAACAGAAATGATTTACTTCACTTATTAAATATGAGTGCTCCCTTCTGCAGTTAGGATATTATAATTTATATTAAATGTATATTATACTATATATATTTGAGTATAACCTACGGTGAAATTGAGTCATAATGTTACTTGTTAAAGACATTTTAATTCTTTTTTTTCTTTGTTTTTCAGGCCAGATTTATTTACTTTGTACCTCCAGGAACCAGATAGCTCAGGACACAACTTTGGGCCTGTCAGTGGTGCGGTAAGGCTTGATCTGTTTATTATAGGAGCTTAATTCATAGGAGCTCATGCATTTCATGCATTTATTTAAGTTATGGAGTGGAAAAGTATAGCCCTTACCAACAAGCTGATTTCTTTAAGTATACCTGTAATTAAGAAAATACATCAGCTTAGTTAAGCCCTGCATGTCAATAAAAATCTTAAATAAGTCTCAAAAGACTGGTTCATTATGATTTAAATCTGTCTTTTCGACGATGGATACGTTTGTATTTGCTACGTAGAATCCAGAATGTGATTGGATTTATCCAGGAATATAAATTTGCCAAAAAACAAACACATTTTAACACATGATGTTGCTGTGGAATGCCACATCAAACAGAATTAAATACACTGTAGTAATACCTCATTTCAATTTTAAATGTCTTACAGGTGATTGAAGCTCTGATGGAAGTAGACAGAATCATTGGACAGCTGATGGACGGTCTTAAACAACTGAACCTACATAAATGCGTTAATATCATTGTAGTTGCTGATCATGGTAAGCAACATATGCTCTAATGTCATTTCCATAGGATTGGGAAAGTTACTGTTTGTGACTTTATCACAGGGTGGCATGGTAGCACAGTGCTTACCATTGCTGCCTTACTTTGCTGGGGTCCTGGGTTCGATTCTTTGTATGCTATCTGTGTAGAGTTTGTATTTTCTTCCCTGTGTTCATGTGGGGTTCCTCCGGGTGCTCCAGTTTCCTGGTAGGTTAATTGGCTCCTGTAAAAACTGGCCCTGGTGTGAGTGTGTGGGTGCCACACACTCTGGGGGGGAAGGCAGTTCATCGTGTCAGGCTTGGCGCCCTTTGCTTGCTGGACCAGGCTCCAGCTCCCTCTCGACCCTCAATTTGAGTGGTTAGAGTGGTTAGAAAATAGACGCTGACAGTGTCTCAGGGCTGGGATTCAAAGCCAGGGAGCTGAGCTCTACAAGGCAGCAATGTTAACTGCTGCCACACCATGCCACCCTACATAACATCCTTGAAATTCTGCAGTTCTGACTCTAGACAATTCCTCCCCCACATTGTCTAGAAGGTGTAAATGATGTGCCGACATTAACGCCTAAGTCTTTTCCATATTTCACTATCTCCCTTGTTTTCAGCTAGCAATGATTGCCATAAATGCTTGCTGAAGTTGTACTACACAACATTCTAAAAGTCTAAATAGACATTTAACTATGTATACTTGTGATGAAGGGCTGAGTCGTGCTGAAATACTCAGGCTTATATGGGCTCCCTTGAGTCCTTGCACACCTGTACATACACACACTTTTACATGCATTGTTTCACCTCATTAACATCACCTGTTTCATTATCCTGGAACACAGGACCTAATTAGTACTATACTCATCTTCTTGGCTATTATTATTTTGGTTCTTAATTGGATTCGATGCTGTCTTTTGCTTTTGCCCTTTTGTGTTTAATATCTCTTGTATATTACCTATTGATATTGTGGATCCACAGTAATTTTTCACAATGGTTGTTTCTCACCTCCTGGCTGTTCCACCATTTTTTATCCTTCCCCGTTTAAAGGGGAGGGGGGGTGGATCTGGAGGTGGGGTGTAGTGTATTTAAGGCATTCATGGTGTAGTGGTCAGTCTGTGTTTACCTCTGCTTGTGGATGTGACTTAAACCTAAAGCATGATTAAAAACTCTTAGGAGGGAGTTCCCTGCAAAGCTATAGTTTTGTCTGTGTGTACTTCTTACTTACAGTCTGTTTTTCTTTTCCCATTTCTATAAATTCTGTCAATTCCCCTTGGTTTACAGCAGGGTGTTTTAGTTACAACATTAGTGTTCCTTTTCCCCTTTTCATGTCTTTATTTGAGTTATCTTCTTAGAGCTTATTGTATGCTGTGGAGTTTGTAATTTTATTTTGTCACATGAAAAAAAAGAGAAAAGCTCATTCAACAAATGAATCATGGTAGATGTTTTGTGGATCCAAAAATAGTAATAATAAGACTTATTTGCAGGTGATTAATAGCTGTTTGATTGGTACTAGAAATTGTAAACTGAGTCTCTCTGTCCATACGTAGGAATGGAAGAAACGAGTTGTCAGCGAATGGAGTTTCTTCAAGATTTTACCGGTAATTTAAACCAGCTGTATGTATATCAGGGTGCATTTGGAAGAATTCGCGCACGAAACCCTCAACAAATCAGTGAGTTTCAAAGCCTTTCACTATTGTTAAGAATAATAAACACAACACAATGATAACATGGATATATATATATATATGTCAAGAGACCTGCATTTGACTATTTCTTTCTAGCTTTAATATTTAATTTGTCAGTGTCTTCATTCTTCTGGTCATTAAAAAGATTTAATTTTAGGATTTTAGTCAGGGCTGTGCAGTTGTGGTCCAGGATGGCTTGTAAATCTGCATGTTATCTAGGGCCCCTCAGAGCAGTAGCACCTGAAGCTTGGAGAAGTGGCTACTCTGCTCAGATAGGCCAGTAATGACCAGAATAATTTAAGAGCTTTGTTACAATGAAAACCAGAACTGGACAGACCTGATTTAAGTCATTGGATTTAAAAATGTTATTTGTGTTATTTTTAACAAATATACTGTATGTTGTTATTTTAAAATATATTATTAGTTTTAGTCTATAAAAGAGCATCAAGAAAACATGAGTGTATGCTTACCACCGTATGAGTATATGTCTATTTTTTTGTATTTCCTTTTTTGAAAATACAAACAAAAAGTTCAAGTACAGAAATAAAACAAACATCAGTGGAAAAAATAGACCGAAAAACAATCCGTGCAATTGAGGTTGAAGCAAGGATTAGAAAAGTTATCATTATAAATGACATCTGTATGGTGTTTCCGTGGATTCTTTGCAGTACAATACTGGTCAGGCTGTCTGTGCTGGAATAAACACGATTGTTTTAAAGAAGACCTTTGGACATAGCTAGCCACATCAGTGCTTAGCCAGGATCTCCAGTTTTAGATTTACACTTCGGTCGGTTTCTAGTACTGTATAACTTTTAGATAATGTCCTGCTGTTTTTATCTGAAAGTAAACCCCACACACATTTCTGAAAAGATTCCTTGTACTGGACAACTTTTCTATTCTGTTGGTATTTATACCATTCGATTGCTATTATTCATAACAATGTGCCTTGAACTGTTTTTATTTTCATTTACAGTTGACTCAGCAGGGTTAATGGCAAACCTAACAGTAAGTAATTAAGATATGGCTTCCATATATCTCTACCCGTGTATAAAATCCTGATTCTGGATGATATATATACAGGTCTGTAATAAAGCCTTTGTCATCTTCTGAACTAACTAGTGCAAGAAACCAAACCAGCGGATTAAGCCCTTCCTCAAAGCCCATTTGCCAAAGAGGTTTCACTATGCTAACAGCATTCGCATTGAAGATGTGAATGTGTTGGTAGACATAAAGTGGCTGTTTGCAAGGTAATTCATGTGCCTTTCTTGTCTATAAGATAAATTTGAGTTTCTTGATGCTTCAACTATCGCATGTTTCATGTATCCATGTAGATATAATTTATTTCATATCTTGTGAATCAAGGCATTTATTGGTGAAAAACAAAGGGGCTGCCTTCAACAGTCCTGTTAATCACCTACGTTTGTCAAGATATACAGTATAAGTTGTCATTCATTTGATACAGTTCTGTCTGAACTCACTAAACATTTGCGTGCGATGCCAATTCAAGCACAAATAATATATAGTGTAATAGACTAAGAAAGGCTGGACATGTTTAGTACATGGAAGGAAAACTTTAAAATTTCACAAATATCTCAGAGTATCGCTTTGAATATTGATGCTAAACGGTGCATTTTGATCTGCAGGTCCCAAGGCTCTTATACGAACTGTGATGGAGGGACCCATGGATATGATAATGACTATTATAGTATGCATGTAAGCACTCCAGGAAAATATTCTTTGATTTGATTTATAATAGATTGCTCAAAAGTAGTTGATAATCTAAAACTGTCTAGAACCTAGTTGGCAAAAAGTAAATGCGAATGTCTAATGAATAGATTCCATCTCCGAGTATGTATCACTTATTTCAAATTGTCAGCCATGACTGTAAGAATATTCAAGAGTAAAATGCTTTCTGTGATATCCTTAATGTATAAGACCACATAAGTATTTACTACTTGCATTTCTATCGGGTTTTCAATTTCTTTTTCAGGCTATATTTCTTGGATATGGACCCCAGTTTCTGTATAAAACTCAGGTTGAGCCATTTCCCAACACTGAGCTTTATAACCTTATGTGTGGTAAGTATTTATTTATAAATCAGTGCACACTTCCATTTCATGTATATACCTGTAGAGATTTTTTAAAGTTTCAAAAATACTCAGATTACCCACACAACCTGAGAGGAATGTATCATGTCAGAAAAATTAAAAAAATAAAAAGATACTTGCAATATATTTTTATCTATTTGGTTTTTATTAATTGTAAACCGATAAATTAACTATAGATCGTGACTGATACAATTTTAGATTGTAACAAGGCGGTAAAAGAAAAAACAATCCACAACCTGTTACTGTAACAGAAAAAAGGGTTTTGGAAAAATGAAAACATATGTTAATGATGTGGGAAAATAATACAAGCAAAGCTTCAGTACTTTTTGCTGTTTAATATTCCTGAAATAATTTTATTTCTAACATGAAATCATTTAGGGGACATTTTAGAAAAGAACACTTAAAATCTGAATGAAATTATCTGTTAGGATAGGATTTAAAAAGTTATTTTTTCTTTCTTGGTTTTCTTTCTAGATTTGTTGCAAATTTCTCCTGCTCCTAACAATGGCACGCATGGTAGTCTGAACCACCTTCTGAGAAAACCAAAGTACACTCCTGAGTTCCCACAAGAAGTGACCAGACAAGAAGAGTGTCCTCTCACCTCTCTAACACCTGAAGACAACCTGAACTGCACTTGCACTGCCATGGTAATCTGGTCTTTCTTGTAGTGAAGTGGAGAGACGAGACAGGTTTCCAGCTAGAAGCCCAAATCAGAATGTCAATTGTCACAAAGCACAAAATGTCAGATGCACACTTTCATATACAGCCTAACAAGAAGTCACTTTATTGAGGTTTTCACACTCATTCACATTTGGAATCTCGTCTTATGCTTTTGTTGACCAAGGCACAGGTTACATAGTCTAGAAGGTAATATTGAATTCTGTCTTAGATGAAGAATCATCATGCACTGAATCTATGATGTTTATAACCAATACCTGACTGAACAATTTGAAATCTTTGATAGCTGCTTTATGGACATAATAGGCTTTCTTGTCTTTTCTAGGGTTCATTAAATCCTAATGATAGACTAAACCTGACAGCCTCTGAAGGTAATGTTAAGCCTGTGTTACTAGAGCTTAAAAATTGTGGGAATTCTAAGAACCTATCAGTTTCTCCACCTTTCTAACCTCATCTTTGAAACCTCTTACAGTGGCTGCTTGTGAAGAAAAACACATGCCATTCGGGAGACCCAGAATGCTCCGTTTTGATGAAAAATACTGCCTGCTTCATCAGCAGGGTTATGTAAATGCCTACAGCAAGACGTTCTTCATGCCTGTCTGGTCGTCATTCACTGTGATAAAGCCTGTAAGAATCATGTTTCATTTGTTCATTCTGCCTGCAGCACTGATGTACTTCTTAAACTGATGTTCAGTACGATACAGAACTGAATTGTACAGTACTGTACAATACAAATACTAGTCACTGGTCTGCATACATTTTCTTTTTCCAGAGTATTCGTACCCATGTTTGTTATAAAATTAAAAAAAAATCTGGCAAACATAACAGCAATAGTGCTAATCAAGACAACTTTAGAAAGTTTTTGAAAAAAGATTTCATTGACCAGTTGGACCATATGAGAAACATTGTTGTGCTGGGCTGTCAGAACATTAAGCCAACTAACCAACAGATTGTATCACCATATGCGACAATACAATGCATCTAGAAAATATATTTTTTAAATTACATATTTTCTTCATGAGGCTGTACAGTAACTGTACAGTAACCCTTCATTTCATTATATACTTAGAGTCTAAAACAAAAATATTTAAGGAAATAAAAGTGTATTGTTTAGAAAAACCTTACATATAATGTCAATTGTAATTTAGTATCTTTTATTTCTGTACAACTTCTGTCTGGAAGAACATATGACCAGCAAAATAGACGAATGCTCCCTGTTAAAAAGGGGACAGGGTTTCTTATATCTAATTATGACCTCCGAATTCAAGACAGGGGAATGTTGCACTGCAGATGTGATCAATTTCTCTAGGCACTGTTGTAGGATGAGCTGGCAGAGTTCATCTGGAGGTTTTGTTGTCTGTGGTGGTTTCACAATGTTTTTTATTCCAGTGAAATACGTAAGTAAACTTACGGTGGTAGAATGTACCAGGACATTGGGAGTATTAATTCATGGAAAACTGATTTTTGATGAGCTTTCACAATTTGAGAGATTATATGTTATCATTATTAGAAATTCAGTAGCAATCAAGCTAAGATAGATGTCCAGTTCACCCTGTAGACATGTGCTGAATGGAACCTTGCAATTTCTATCTGTTTGCAGCTGTAGAGCTCTTGGATCCTGAGTTAAGGAATGTTATAGGTTGTGCTGAATTTTAATTTGTTGGAATTTGTTTTTAAATTATCGTCTGTTCGACTTGCTCGGTTTATTACAGCTATGGTAATTACAAGGGCTTGCTTTTTTCTCAATTTAAATTTAGAAAAATAGTTTTACTGCGCCATCTCATGGACATATACAGTAATTATTTTCCTTAGCAACAATTTATTGAACCGTCATATAAGGATGTACAGTATATAAGCATACATGATAACATAAGATTTGATATCACTGTTTTTTTCAACTAAACATCTATAACCAATAATAATAATAATAATAATAATAATAATAATAATAATAATGTCTTAACCACCTGCTATTTATTTCTGTTTCTTTTGGAATTAATTAAAAAAACCTTTCTCACACATATGTACTATACTTGTTTTAAATCAGTCTAAAAATAATTTTACACTAGACCCGTTTCAAAATAACCAAACCAGAGGCCCCACCTTTTAGGCCCTGAATTCTACAGTCACACATATTTCTAAGTAATTTTGTCCAGGTAGATAATTTAAATGACACACTAACTGTACAAGAGAATGCAACCATGGTTATTTTAAGAACAGGTGTGTTAAGAAGGTTAAGAAGGGTTTACACATGAAAATACTTTGAACCATTCCTAAGGAACTCTTGGTGTCAAATCTGCTTCTCTTTGGAAATCTTATCTTTTTCTCTTTTAATTTATTTCAGCAAAATCTGGAACCCCTTCCTCCTGTCATACCTGACTGTTTCAGAGCTGATGTCCGAATTCCAGCCAATATGAGCTCCAGGTGTGAATACTTCTCTGGAGCAGTCAACATCACAGAAGCGCATCTGTACCCACCAAGTACGTTTAGGCTTTGTTTTTGTCATGACATTTTCATACAAAAGTTCTTTCAAAAGGGATTTGCTGTCAAAATGTAGGGAGAATTTCCAACTATGCCTCTGTCTTTGAGAGATGTTTTCTCCGTCTGAATCCAAAAACATTTTTAAATTTAATCAGTAAATAGGTAATGGATGTATCTGAAAATATCTTTACATCGTCTTCCATTCCACTGTCATCTTTTCTCATTTTAGATCTCAACAGTACCACAGACGAGCAATATGATGGTTTACTGATGAGCAATGTTGTCCCTGTGTACCCAGCTTTTAAAAGTAAGTGCAAGTTCAATAACCATAAAGGTGCCAAAAACAGCAATATTGTAAAGTAAGCTCAAAAGTAGAGGTTATTGGAAGTCTCTGCTTTTGGAAGTCTCTGTGTTAAAATCACCTTTTTTGCTTGTTTCATCTGACAGATATTGTTGAACTTTACAATTGAATGTTCTGTATAACAGCGTGCAAGATCTCATTACTCTCAACTAAGTAAGGCAGGGCCAGGACAGCACTGAAAGGGGAAACAGGTTTCTACTCTGGAAAACTAGCAGTGCAGCGAGTAATGTTGGTGGAACAGTAGGTAGCACTACCTTTCCCGTCCAGAATTTCCAAACCAGTACCTCTGTATTGTCACCAGGGGCACTGTACTATAGGAGATATCATACATTTGGTAAGACTTCAAACTAAGGCCCTGACTCTATACTGATGAAAGGTCCAATGACATTGCTCCTTTGCATTGAGTATGTAAGGATATTAACCCTGGTCTCTTGGTTAAATTCCATCTGAGCTTCCAAATATGACCTTCCTAAACTTTCCTGTTAATTTAACTAATGAAACATTATTTCATTTAATTTCACATCAGTGCTAATTGCAACTGCTAGTGTATTAAGGCTGCCATACTTCAGTGGATGCTGCTCTTCAATAGTAGATAGAGCAGTTCCTCTGCTTTAGGATCTTTTTGGATGAAAAGCACTATGTAAATGCAAGGAATTCTTCTCCTTGTACACTAGAGTTGTAATACTGAAAATCTTTTTTTTTTTTTTTTTTTACTTTCTAGGAATCTGGCTTTATTTTCATAGTGTGCTCCTGAAGAAATATGCCTTCCAGTACAATGGTGTAAATGTGATGTTGGGTCCTGTGTTTGATTATAACTATGATGGACGTTTTGACACTCTGGATGAAATTGAACAGTAAGTTGATCAGTATAGTAGTATATATAAAGGACAAGGAACATGTCTTACATAGAAAAGACTTCTTCCTGCTGCCTAGATAAATTATAGACAGACAGAGTGTGAGTTTTAAATGTACTGCAGTCAGAAAGAAATGACAATCAACCTTTACTATCTATTATTCTTTTTTAGGCATGTCCCTGGAACAAGTATACCAATTCCCACACATTATTTTGTAGTCCTGACAAGCTGTGTGAATGCATCTCAGCCAGTTCTCAGCTGTAAAAAGCCATTAAAGGCTGTCTCTTTCCTCATTCCACACAGACCAGACAACAGTGAGGTTTGCAATGTAAGTATATGCCATTCCTCATGAATTTACAGTCTGAGATTTCTTGCAGCAATTTCATTATTACTGTCAGAAAACACATTGCTAGTTAAACAGATAGTATTTAGAAGTGTATGTTGTTATGACATTCATGATTTCTCCATAATCTCCACCCTCTCCAGAATCATGAAGATGAATCTAAATGGGTAGAGGACTTGATATGGTTTCATCAAAGTAAGGTCAAAGATGTGGAGTGGATCACTGGACTGGACTTCTATCAGGACAGTAAGAGGCCGATTTCAGAGCTGCTGAGGCTCAAGACACGACCCACCTCAGCCATCGACAGAGTGAACAACACTCCGGAGCTTTAATATTTTTTTATTTTTTGTAGAATTCAGCTAAATGGAATCTTAAAAATGTTCTGAACCTGTGCATATATTTGATAGCTTTTGCTGGGATTTGTATGAATTGTGATTTCATTTTTATTTATTCCGAAAAACAAGAACACAATAAGATGTGGAAGGCCACAATATGTAATTTGTTACTTTCAGATCAGTTCAGACTTTCAGCAGGAATACAAGAGAACGCATGAAAGATTGCAAAGAAAAAGAGGCTAGTTGGCCCACTTTGGTGGCTAGTTAATTGATCTTATCCAATCGGGCTTATTCATGTCAGCAATATCCTTTGTGTCCCCTGTACTCAGTCCTAAGGAGTCTTTATTCACTTTATTCATTTTCACATGAGCCCTAGGACTATCCTTTTGTCTATTGCAGTGCCAGCACTCTTCTGGGAGGCTTTCCAGTAGTTTCGCTTTTATGTTCTTGCATCAAATCACACCACAATATCCTCTGATCAAGACCACAGAGCCGAAGCCCCTTGAACCTCTCAGTTAGATACCTTTGAGCCCTGTCACCAATTCTAGTGCCTTCCTTTCTATTGATTATATAACAGTAATACCCTTTTTTTCTAATGTGGTGGCCAAAATTGTCAGCCTTAATCTAAATGTACGTATTATTATATCATATTTAAATTTAATGTGAAATCATACCTTCTTTTCTTGCTTCCCCATTTTATCTATAAGAGGATATTGACAATGTTTCTGCAACACCTATATTCTGCGCACATTTTAAGATGAATGCCTTCCATTTTTACTTTCTTTTTAACAGAATCATAAAATAAACAAATGCTGCACTGCTGTTCAGTTCATTTTGTGTTCCACAATGTTTTAATTAAAGTGGATTTCCAACACATGTTTGGATGAATTTTTGAACTTATATTTGATGCACATATGAAGTAAAGATCTAAATTCAGTTTTAATATTATATGATTTTATTATATTATAATATTCTATAACCACAGATGGTTATTCTGATCCAGGGAATGACAGAACCTAGGGTGGCATTTAATGTATTGGTTAAAGAGATCTGTAAGTGCTGGACTGTTGTGCAAAACTGTTTTTAAAGTAATTTTGTTCCACAGCAACACCATATTTTAATATTCAGAAATATTAAAATACACAGTCATGAACTTGTATTCATGAATTTGGACTAAACCTCCATTTTAAATCTGGTTTTTATTCTTACTTTAGTTAGAAATAATCATGACAAACAAGTTCTTCATTCTAACAAAACCTTTTGAACATCTTTTCCAAACAGCTAATTTTAAGATATGAATAATAAAATATGGAGTGAACGTTAATGCTGAAATAGCATTAATACATTGGTGTTAAGAAGGGGCTGATACCCTACTTCTTGTGTTCTTGTTTGTGCACGTTCTCCTTGAGTGAACTCCACTTGAATTATGCCGGACAGTACAATAAACTACTTCAAACAATTTTATTAATTGAATTAATACACTTTCTGTCAGGCTCTTTAAACTTTCAGGTCTCCAATTCAAGAGATGTCCCAGTGGTCCTTTTAATCAGGAGCAACTACAAAAGAAAAAAAAAGGTTTAACAGATATGGTATATCAGAGTTGGAACATTCAGTATTGATGAGAAGAGTTTAATACCACTTTCTGGTATTACCTGGTATTATACTAAACTGTGGGTCTCCAGCCCTGATCTTCAAGAATGTCAATACAACATGTCAATACATATGTAATCATTGCATCAAAGACCTGGTACAGCTGAACTGTGATTAACTTATTAGGTTATTAAAGTGAATGAATTAAAATCAGAACTCACTTTAGTACTCGGGAGGACAAGGACCAATATTTGCCTTTACCGAAGAAATTATTTTCTCAGACAGTAACTGACAAGTACTTCTAAAATTCTAAAAACAATGCCAATGCCCCTTTTTTGTGCAAAACTGTATGTTTACACTATGTATCAAGTCTGAGGAATATCTAAAATAATACCTATTCTATTCACCAAAATAAGTGTTTAATAGACTGGAATCAACAGGTTAACTAGTCTTGTACATGGGGTACCAACTAGTTTAGTACACTGAGAATAACTACTTTTGTATATTGTGTACTAATGTATCTTGTATATTGTGTAATTAATAGCTTTTTACGCTCTACTTGATAGATGAATAAGTTCTGTACTAAGTAGCTTTTTACATTGTGTATGTGGTGACAGCTTTGTAATCTACAGGCCATCAGGCAGTAATAAGTGCTTAAGAATCTGGCTAACCTGTATTTCTATCCTCGTTTACTCAGCAGCTACAGGATGAGGAGTGCCAGGTTCCTTCAGCCACCACCTCTCCATTTTCTGTCATCTCCCATTTAGCCTCAAAGCGCTGGTCCCCTTGCCCCTCGCCAAACTCCCAAAGCTCCACGTACAGCTGCTCATCGGGCTCGTACAGCTGCTCATCGGGCTCGTACAGCAGGAGCTCCTCATGGCGCTCTGCGCTGATGAAGTACCCTTCGCTGTTCAGGGCGGCTCCGGGCTGCGCTGCGAAGGCGCAGGCCTCTTCCGTCTGCAGAGGGTGACCGTAGGGATGGACATTCCACGGAACATCCATCACAAACTGATCCCCTGAACCTCCGGGCTCATTAAATCTCCCATTCCACTCTTCCCAGAATTCCTCTTTGGTCATTAGAGGGCCTGATGGCTCAGGTTCCCTTGGATGCCACATGCCTGTTGTCGGGCGCATCTCTAAGGGAGTGGAGGGCTGGATCTGCCATGGGAAATAGGGCCACTGATTCTCTGATGGGTAGGTCTCCGGATTGCCCCACATTCCAATCCCTGTGGCCTGCTCTGTGGGCCAGTAGGGCTGGAAATTCCCAGAACAATATGACGGCTGTTCCCAAGCTGTACTCACTCCAGAAAACCAGGAGGGCCGTGGTGTCTGGGGGGAAGAAGGTTCAGATTCTCTCATTTTCTCCTCTTTATTTTCAGGCTTCTCACTTCCTGGCTCTTTCCAATCCTCCATTTTCTCTTCCAATTTTTCATCCCCATTTTCACTTGAACTCTTATAGATGTCTTCCATCTTGTCCTTGCTCTTCTCATTTCTCCCTGCACTTGTCTCCGTTTTGTCTACAGTTTGAGCCACTCTCTTTTTTCTGCCATTCTTCTTCCTAGGTTCTTTTGCCTCTCCTCTGTCCTCTTTTCTTCCACAGCAGAGGAGAAAACATAAAAGCCCCCAGCAGGTGCGTTTCTTTTTATTTTTCATTTTCAGAGCTCAAATGAGCTCCTTCAAGAGATTGTGCTGAATCTCTTTGACTGTTGTTATTACCGTTAGTTACTAACACCACAGGTGGATCACTATTTTATGTCACTTTGGAACATTGTCACATCATTCTCAGAATGACATCATAATGCCCTGTTTATAACAACTGTTACCATGTGTGGGCATTCTTTTCATAACTAGTACTGTACAGCAATACTAGCATAGCAGAATGTGAGAAATCCATCTATCCAATACAGGGTTGCAGAAGAGCCAAAGCCTATCCAGGCAAGCAATGGGCATAAGGCAGGATAGACCCTGGATGGGACACAAACACCTGCATTCACAACAAGACCAATTTCCCCAGAAGTCAACTAACCTACCAATACCTTTGAGAGGAAACTGGAGCACTTGGCAGAAACCCCTGTGGATGGGTTGTATAAAGAGGTGGCCCCTGTTCTCGGGTTTAAATTCGCTACAGTGTAGTTTCCATTCATGTCCTCTGGTTCATGATTCATTCCTGTTTACGCATGTTAACTTCTATTGTAATCTTTAAGCACCTACTCTGCATAAGTTTTAGATAATTACCAATGACTTTACAATGATTACATTTATGCAAGACAATTTAAATAATTTTCTAAAGTTTGTTCCACAGTGTCTCTTAAAGCCATGGTTTTCTGTGAAACTGAACTTACACACAAACATGTTTTCACATCTTAGTGTTTTTATAGTCTCTGCAGTGTACTTAGAGCATGAAGAGTAATGACAGAATGGTACAAATCTTCCAATGATTACCAATGTTTCATATAAAAAATACACTTTTAATATACACCAATAAAATGTTGAGTCCATTTAAAAAAAAACAGTGTATATATACACACAATATCTATTTACACAAGGCTTCCAAATAAAATCAAAACATTACAAAAACACCAAAATAATATATACAGCAAATAATTAGTCATTGAGATATGTAATGGTTTCACACTAAACACTGTCAAATCTCATCAAGCTAAACAGCTGGATGGATGGAAGACCAGGGAAAAGCAGGCTGCTGCTGCTGTAAGAGGTGTCGTGACCAGCAGGAGGTGCTCTTCCCCCTGGATCAATTACAAACTCAAGCATTTTTAAGTATAGAAAAAGTCATTTACATTGTAGGAAAAACACATTGTCTGTTGGGTCAGGATTATGGCTACTGTATTTGTTAAGGTATTTTCTGAAAATTTGTTTCCCTACATTAACATCCACATGTTACTTCCACCTTAAGCCCGCTGGTCACATTTCTCTCTACATCTTCAAACCACTGAATGTGGGGTCGGCCGTGTGGTACAGTGCATTGTCCCTGGGGCAGTGGCTATGACAGACACAGCTATTGATGAACATCATGGGCTTCTTCAGGACTTCACCGCGTGGACACTGGAACTCCACCTGGATAGTCCTGGCGCTGTGGGGAGTGCAGCACCTACCATCACTGCACCCTCCGCAGTACCTGGGCCTGTAGGCATGGGTGCTGGTGCAGTTCATGAAGGTGAAGTGGGTCGGCTTCGGGGCCCTTTTCGTTCGCAAGCACCTCTTTCCTTTCTAAGGCAGGGAAAAGAAGTGATAAAAGGAGAGAAGAAAAGATCAAAACGAGCGAAATCATTTTTCTGTCACTGTTCTCAGACATGATACCTTTTACTGCCTATAAAGTACGTATTTAATGCTCATCTTCACTAAACACGAAAGCAACCTGGAGATATAAAATTAAGCTGCCTTACTGGACAGTTGTTCTGGTAGGCAGCCACTCCAAGGTAAATCTAACCCAGCTCACCCCTCCTCTCAATGTGGGGCAGCATTTGTAATTAATCAAAACGTTTGTCGTGCACGATCTATTCCAAGCCCTTTATCCCTACTTGAGCCTTTCGCTTACCACTGGACGACACCTCCTCCTCACACTAATAAAACCCAAAGACTGATCGTAGTAAACTACCTTCTCCTATCACGAAGCAACATTACACAGGTGACATTAGTACGAATTCAGGCTGAACGACTGTCTGTAGTTCAGTATATACGAGCTTCAGAGCGGAAAGACTAATTCATCGTATTGCGAAAAATTAACGACATGGAGCTTGTGCATCAAAGTTAAAGGGCTTTTTCATGCTGAATTAAGATGCAGTACCATCACTTTTTACACCAGTATAACGCAGGACTGACAAGTGATACCTTGGCGGCATCACTTCGCTCCTGTTCGCCGCAGGGTCTGACGAGACAGAGGCGGCTCTGCTTCACCATCTCGCAGCGTCGGTTCCGATTCGTGACCCGCGTTGAGACACCCATCCCGCAGGTCCGCGAGCAGGCCCCCCACTCTGTGGTCTGCTCGATGCAGTTGAGACCGGGGTCTAAGATGTCAATTCCAGCCGTTCCCTCCTGCCTGTAAGCTAAAGTTACATTTAAAGCAAAGAAAAATGGTTAAAAATGTCCTTGTTTAATCTATATAAAAACAGGTTCAGTTGCTAGACGTTGCTTGTATGTCACCTGCTTCTTTTTATGCTTTGGATAATGGTTAGGATGTTAGGGAAAACCCCTTTCTAACCTAAAGATGAAAACGTCTCTTTTTCAATTAAAACTGTGGTTTGTGCAGGTACCTACAGTTGCAGGTATTGCTGGCAGTAGACACAGTTCATCTGTATGTATATAGAGTTTTTCAAAGCTTTTTCACTCAATTAAAATTTGCCGAAAGTTGATATATAAAAGTATAAACATGCTAATCAAACTCGAGGCACTACAGGTAATGTTTTTCACTTCAACACGGTGGTCGAGTTTTAGGTGGGTTTTATCAACAGTGCTTGGAAAGTTGTCTCATTAGTGTATTTCTTGAGGTACTGTATCTGTCGCAAAGGGGAGTAGGTCTGACAGCCCAAAGTGAGGTTTTTATTTTAGCTTTTTGGAGCTGCTGGAACAGACCTTTTGGGAAATAGTTGAAGCAGTACTCTAAATAGTAATGAAGAGTTCTCCATGTCAGACTTTAGCGACACTGCCACAAATCAGACAGGGCCTTAGAGCCAAACACTGATTTTCATCAAGAAAGCTTTAAAGAGTGAAAGTGTCCACATATAAACAAACAAATGAAAACCATAAAGGAAAAAAAGCATCGAAAAAAATACTTATTTCAAATCGGACCACTGCAGTATGAGAGCTCGCTAGATTTGCAGTATGGCCCCATGACCTTTGGCTGCCCTGTAGTTATCTCTCATCTTGGTGCAGAGTAGCCGCAGCTGTTGATTTAAAGCGGCTACCACTGGGGTGTCTATCGGTTGGTCGGTCGAAGCCATTCCTCACCCGCCATCGCCAAGCCCCCCAGCGAGGTGTGTGCCCTGGAGTCGCACACCCAGGTCTCGCAGCACTCTCCTGGCAGCCGCGCTCTCCGGGGGAAGGGGCAGGAGGGGCCCGGCAGCAGGACGTCCAGGTTACAGCGGGGGACGCAGCCGATCTCTCCGTCCCTGCAGGCGCACTGATACTGGCAGCTGGGGAAGAAGGTTTCCCCGTTTTGATAGACGGAGCCATCCAACACGCAGATGTCTCCTTCCCGGGCTGTAAACAAGAAGGGGAGGGGGCAGCCGAGGAACGTATTTAAATACCGCGCGTTTTGTGGCAGCTCTGCGTTCAAGATTTATGAGGTTCCGGTTTAGAGAAAATGATAGAGCAGTGCAAAATGCTCAGTAGGGTGGGAATCTGCGACCTCTGCTCCAGCAACGGTTTTTTTTAATCTCGCAGAGACGCTAGGAGATGAGAAACTGAAGACAACATTTTTCTCTTTACATTTACAGGTATGGACTCATAATCTGACGTTTGTAAAAAAAAATAAACATACTTGAGAATAAACAAATATGCGTTTTAAACCACGATCCGATAAGAATACCATTCCTGGAATACTGAATTAAAATATAGATTTAAAACTTTGGGTTGACTATCTAATCCATCACTTTAAGTACCAAACTTTTTAATGTAAAGACCTTTAAGATCAGGGATAGAAACACTCATCGAAAACAATCACAAAGAAATCCAAATAAAAAAAAAAAATCACAGAAAGCAAAAATTTTGAAATACAGATTAGGTTTACTGCTGGCCCTTTAAGAGGCCAATAAATCCTTAACAGGATTTTAACAACCATAACTCATCTAAAAAGTCTGTGAATGTCCAGTTTTCGCTGTGGCATAATTTAATTGTGTAAAATAGAAACCTAACTACCATTGACCAATGGTAAATTTGTATTTCTGCATCAGAGGACGCCAGTGAACAGGTGTTTTTAATAACTAAATTTAGGTATCTGAGCGTCCAGGACATAATTTACTTTTCAATCTTAATGAATCAAGAGATTCAAAGAGTTACGCAGCACAGATTATTTTTCCCCAAAATTTTCCAGCGCATGCCTGTAGCTGTATTGTCCTATTTTTTAACGGATTTAGTTCTTGCTTTAAGGTGCAAACTGCATTCAAACATACACCTGAAAGACACCAACAATCACGAAAATTAAAAGATCACGAACTCTTTGCTCACCCACGCAAACACCGGTCTGCTCATTGACTCCTGCGGTATAATCGCAATGCAGGCCCTTACGGGTGTCGCAGGGGTATCTCTCTGAGCAACTTTCGCCTTTCTGGCGAGCGCAAACGAGGCAGCAAGCGCAGTCGTCCAGCACCAGCGGAATCCCAGGAGGGCACAGAGGTGCCTCTTCAGGACACCTGCACTGAGGTGAGCACGCATGGCCTGTCGCCAGGGAGCACAACTGTAATAATAATAATAATAATAATAATAATATCATCACTGGACTAGCAAAAATAAGAAGATGGGGTATCGATATTTTTCTAACCGAATTAGAAAAACAACAACATTAATGCTTTACAAAAAAATGATAAAAAAACTCACCGTTGCAAAAGCGCTGAACAAGAACAGACGCATAGCTCCGTTTATATTTTGACTTTTTGTTTGCATTATCTTCTTTAGGTTTTCGCCCTCCCTGCTATTTTGAGTCTTCCAATTCCTTTATCCATGAAGTTAAATGTTCTGCTGAACTATTTATAAAGCCCTCTGGACATGCGTCGCGGTGATTGGGCAGGCTGTAGGGCGAAAGAAAACCAATGAATTAATGCAGGAAAACCGCTGTAGCTCTAGTTTGCCTTTCTCCGATTGGATGACTGATAACTCATATTGGCAACACACCTTCAAAAATGTTCGGCTTCCGACAGAGTAGCCAAACTGATGCTGTAGAGACAGTGTGCTAACATTTTCTTCAAAATGAGTACGGTTCGACGTTCCTGTGAAAAATGTCAATATGAAAACAACTGCATGAATAGATAAATCAATAGTTGTCTTAACATTAATCAAGATGTACTGAGATACATTCAAAACTCAACAAAATGAGTATTGGAAAATATTTTAATTCCTCTCGGTATATAAATCGCATTCATTCGAAATCCCAAGTTTGATTACCGTACACCAGAAACATTATTGTTAGTGCTCTCCTGCACGATATTATTGTCGGACAGCTCTCCTGGCAACAATTAAGTTAAGTATTTAAGTTTATTATTATTGAAAAAGAAGCAGCCGCGTTACTGTATAACTTCACAAGTGATGGTGGTCATTTTCAGTTCACATCGAAGTAATAAAAATGAGTGCTTCCTCTCTTCTCGTGACTGTAAATTATGAGACATTAGGAAAATCTAACGACCACTTAATTTAAAAAAAAGAATTTCATTAAACCGGATTTGCTGTTTCCAAACTCTTCATTTCACTTGGGATTAGTGTAAGAAAGATTGATTTTAAAAGAAAACAGACCATCATTTAATAACATTTACTGCTTTAATGCTTTTCTTTTTTGTGTGTCAAACGTGTTGAGCTGTTTTCTCCTGTAATTTTAAATGGATATCCCAGTTCGTGGTGAAGTGAATCAGATTTATAAATTACTTTTATTTCAAGGTGGAAATGCAAATAACATTATTCACATCTAGTTAAATAGTTTTACACTGGAAGCTGAAAAATGTCAGACTTAACAGTTCTGTGTTTGCCGCGTTTGTCTGAGTTACCCAGACTAGGATCCTGTACATTGAGTGTCAAGGTGCACATCATTAGAAGATAAATTCTGGCAGTGCCCATTCCTGGTTTGTAAAAAGCTACTATAATGTTATCAATATTAAAGCAGTGGAGGAGCAGAAATGGTTTGGTGTTGCCATGGATACTGCTACTCATTTTGAAGGTAATTTAAAATGTTGTAAAAATGTTTACTTTCTGTCTGTCCACAGGGACAGAAATCCTATCTGTTATCAATTTAGGATAAAGTATTAGATCTTATACAGGACAGGAAAATAAGTTTGAAGGGAACTTCAGAATTTGAGTTGTATTCCTGTTTCTAACCCACTAACTAATTTCTGAAAGATCTACTTATAAAAGAGTTCTCCTTATTAAACTAAATTCAGTTTTTTTTTCCAAAAGGTTGTCTAATTGTTTTCACATTATTTTTCATATACCGTGCTTGTTTTTAATAGCTTACAGGTTTATCTGTGGTTTAAAAATGCAGAATGATGTAAATGTATGTTGTACTGTATATGCAAACTCACAATAGGAACTTTTTTTTGAAGAACAAGTTTGTTTAGAAATGGGGTCCATACAAGTTCCATGGGATTGTATGGTGAAAGATCTGAGAACAATTATACAAAATACAGTATGTCTTATTTGCTTCTTAGGATGGGTTTTTACATAGCTGTTATTTGTAGTCATTATGATGAGCAACCATAACTTGTAGGAAAATTGCCTAATGCATCATATAGTGACCAAGAAACTATTGATATATCTTATGTTTCTAACATAACATTAATTGAACTTCTCCAGCCCTGTTTTAAGTTGAATTACTGAAGACCAAATGGAAAAATCTACACACCTCCTACTTTTCCCACTTAAAAATCTCAAATTGCCATGAAATAGCTTACGATATTGCCAACAATAAATTGTGTAGAAAAAATTGCAGAAAAGTGAAATGTATTGAAGTCCATTATTTCTAGCAATGCTTGCCAAATGTAGGCTCACCATTATAAGATCATTTAGGGCTACAGAGACTAATTCAAGCTGAACATTATGATGAGAAAAAAAAAACTTCCATCACACTGCCTTAAGGCAGTAGCGAATAATGTAAAATTATTATGTTTTGCAAAGTGTATCTTTACAAAACTTCTAAAAAGGTGTCTTTGCAAAATGCACGACAAGAATTCTCATTGTTACACCATTAAATATTCCTTTAATAGACTTAATATTGTAATGCAACTAAGTTAATGTTCCTGTCTGTAACTTATTGTTTAGTTTTTAGACTTTTAACCTGAGAGAAAAGTTAGTATGACAAATTGTTTTTCTCTGCAGAGGCAACATTAGAGATTTTGTGTAAATAAAAAATATGTGAAAATGAAAAAAAAAATGGTTTGCTAGTTACTGTAGGTGCTTCTTTCTCTTAAAAAATCTCTTCACCATATGTATGTATCATTATTGTATAGCCATGGTCTATGTACAGTATACTTTTTTCTGTAAGAATAACAATTTAGTTCTGTATCATGTGAATCATAAATCAGTACAATAGTCATTATTGGGCATACCATATACAGTAAGACCAGATTTCAAATTAAATTAAATTAAAATACTCTAAATAATTTTATCTAGCAGGCAGTAATAGGAATTAAGGAATCAGAATCCTAGTGTAATTTCTTGGACTAACTATTGTTTCAACATTTCAACTATCGATCTGCAGTGCTACAATTTGTTATCACTGTTTGAACTTACAATCATGACACTGTCAAATATGATTTTATATTTAGAATCTGCAAAGTCTACTCCAAACTACTAAATTAAAATAAATCCTGATTGTAAATTAGTTATTGTAAGATTGTAAGATTCAGAATTTCTTAAGTATTCAACCCTTTTTCTGCAGAAACCATAAATCAGTTAAGGTGGAACAGATTAGTTTGAGAGCTGACAAAAGTAGTGTAATGGACTTTCTGTGTAATCAATGAGATTTAACTTGACTTCAGACTACAAGGATCTGTCTCTGTAAATTCCCTCAGGGACTGAATTTCAAGCCACAGCTCAAATATCACTGATGAAACAAACCAACTACAAATAGCAAGGATAACACGAACCCAAACTTTACTTGTTCTTTATTAATTTACTCATTGTTTTAACATTTTTTCCTAATTAATTAAAAATTGTAGCTATAGATCTCAGTTTAGCAAACATATTTATATTGTGAACGGTACTGTACATATTTATACTTTACATATTTGTACTTCTATATAACATTTTGATATCAAAGTCTGTAAGAGAAACACGTTTCTAAACCATAACAAACGTCAATAGAGCAGAGCAGAGTTGTGAAGCCTACCTACGCACATTAATGTAGCTTGTGAAATGTTTCTGTTGAATGCTACATGTCTCCACAGATAGCACAAACACTACAGGCACAATGAATAATGCATGATCAGACTGAAGTATTAGTATTGGGTTATGTTCAGGCTGTCTACATTGCTAACATTTTCTTCATAAGTTGATGGGATAAGGAAAATCTATCTCTGTATTGTATTTTTTTGACATACTGGTTTGCTAGTGGCACAAAGTAACAGAATTTAAACACAAATAACCAAAGAACGCAAGAAAAATAGCAGACAGGGTTGTGAATGCCAAATGAGATTAGCAGATCATCAGCGGCACTAAAAACCTGTTAATGGAACACACAAACAGAAACAAGGACATGCTGTAAGAATGTTTACCCATTTTCAAAATGAAAAATAAAATGTATGCAAACTTAAAAACAAATATTGATTCCACTTTATTTGTATTATTTTAAGAGCAGAACTAAGAGATTGATTTTACCCAGAAATGAATACTGAAAATACAGTATGTGAGAAAAGTGGAGTTATTTGTTACACATGTAAGAAAATGTAGAACTTGGCATGACAGAAAATTACTGATCCAAGCAATAACTCTATGAAGCATTTGTATTTTATTTAATATTATTTAATCAGATTATTACAAAATGAAGAACAATTAACAGAAACATACAAGGCATCATGTCATGTGTGCATCTTGTTCAATTTGTGAAGACAAAATGACAAAACAGTCATTAACACCATTTGTTAAGCTTTGGCATGATCTTAGATACCATGGCATGCAACAGAAAGGTCCAGTTAAAATTTACATTTTGTGTGTTGGGCAGTAAACTGGATAGAAAGTTTAGGCAGGGTGGTTGTAGATTGGCCTGCTGTTCAGGGACTAACCACTTCATCACATCTAGAATATGTGGTCACATCAATAGCTGCATTTTTCCTTGCTGCTGGAAAAAAAGTTAGACTTTGTTTAAAATCATTGCCATAATAATTACTGTAAATGATATATAATTATTATTCAGTTGGAAGCATTTGCTATAGTTCCATTTTTACAAATAAAATTATTCTCTAAATTGCTATATCAAATGCAACAAAATCTCGTTAACATCTGTTCACTGTATTCATTAATGCCACATGAATAATATTGCTAATGTTGCTAGTGTTGTTGCCAGAATATGTCATAAAGTAAGTAAGGAATGGAACATTTTGAGCCTGTACTCAAAAGCCCATTCATTTGTGTAATGCTGTCATGTTTAGAAAACTTCACAAATTAGAAGAAAAGTATTATTATTTTAATAACAGGCTTCTAGATTTTATCATTTTGGTCTCATGTGCCATATACAGTACATTTATATCATGCAAGGTAGTAAAAAATCAGTGTTCTAACCAAGTCTAATGGGTTGAACAATAGATAAATTATTTCCATTTCAACCGATAGCTTATTCTTCCTTTTCTAGAAAAATTGTACTAAAACTTTCTAAACTCTTAAGTCTGTGACAAGAACCCTTCTGATCATAGAGACCTCACATGAATTGGCCTTATCAACCATCTACTGTAGGTCATGAGATTGTTGAAGAGGCCAGTCCTGGAAAAACACTCTTTTGCAGTTTGCTTATGTGTTTCCAAGTAACAATGTGGTCCTGGGTTGCTGATCTGACAGGCTGTTTCTG